GTTCGATCCTCAGCACCACATACCAACAAAGATGTTGTGTCCACCGAGAACTAAAAATAAATATTAAAAATTCTCTCTCTCTCTCTCTCTCTCTCCTCTCTCACTCTCTCTTTAAGAAAAAAAAAAAGAGTATTTATGATTACCTCATGAAGCATAACTAGAAATTCCAACATCTTGGATGTATTAGTACTGGCTTCTGTTGCCTTTTCCCTTGGAAATTGGAAAATTATGAGAATTGGCAACATTTCTTTGACCTTTTGAATATCAAATAATTTTGGATTGCGTCTTGAGCATTTTGGATATTATTTTCATGGCTTTTTGTGGTCTGTTGAAATTCTCTAGAGCATGTATTTATTTAAGGAGGCAATTAAATTGAACTAGTTCTATTTCACTTTCTGTGGGAAGTGCTTCCAAATCAGTTAAGTTTTCAAAGTCTTTATTATGCTACTTTGGGTTTGAATACCTCAGGGATTATTAGCATTGGACTTGGGCAATGGTTTATATCCTAATTTTCAAAGCCTTTGCTGTTTTGTGCATGCACAACTGAATTGAACCTGGAACTTGTGTAATATCACATATAAAACCAGGGGATACTCTTTTCCAACTCTCATGTTTCCAGCTACACCAAGGATCATTTTTTCCTGGTATTCTAGCTAGAAAGAAAGGGCTTTTTGTTGTTGTTGTTGCAGACGGGAGACTGAACCCTTGCACATGCTAGGTAAGCACTCTATCACTGAGGACTAGACTCAACCCTTTATATTTTTGAGCAGGATCTTGCTAAGTTGCCCAAGCTGACCTTGAACTTGCAGTCTTCCTGGTTCAGTCTCCCCAATAGTTTGATTTTAGGCATGCATCACCACAGTTCATCAAGATGGGAATTCTTGAAGAGTTGGAGCTATTGTGCTGTCATGTATTTCTGTGAGACTGGGGCTGCCCAATCTCTCTAGAGAGAGAAAATAAAAAAATATTTCCAACTCTTTCCTTGCTTCCCTGAGCTAACTCCTCCTTGTTTCCAAGAATATTCTCTTGTTTTAGGTGCTCATACAACAGTACAGCACATTTGAGTAGGGGCCACCTGAAAGCAGGACCAGGAAAGAGAAAACAGACAACAGAAAGAAATAACTGAACAAACAGGCTTTTGATGTAAAATGTCAACGACTTCAGAAACAGACAACCAGACTGCTTCTGCTACCTGACTGACCTGGTTCTATTTGCTTAGTATTTAGGAACAAACTACTCATTCTTGCTGCATTTCAGATTTGTTTGGAATATGGAATGATGTAAAATGAAATTAGGCATGTGAAGAAAAAGTTCAAATAATCAGAGTATCTTCTGTAGAACAAAAACAGGATGGAAAACTAAAATACAATAAATGGGAATACAGAACTTTCTAGAAAAGCTACAAAATTTAAAACTGTCAAATAGCACTGAAGCATTAAAAAAAATTTGTGGACCTCTAAAATTATTTCAGGAATATGAACTAAGCTTCATTGGGACTTCTAAAGCACTTAACTTTGTTTTCCCTGAGCTGAGAAATGGGAATTAGAGAACATATAAGTTTTCCAATCTAGAGATTTGGAAAAAGTTACTGTTGACAATAAAATACTAAATAAAATAAAATGGAATTTTCTTTGATCTTTGCTAACTCATGTCAGCATTCAACTGTCTGACACCAGAAGGCAAGAGCAATGATGGAACTTAGAATGGTCACAGATAATTTTCCTGATTTATTTTTCTCAACTTCAAAAATTAGCATTTTCAAAGCCACTTCAAAATATAGTAGGGCAGATAAGGACATTAAAGAAAAGGAAAATATTTTTTCCTAGGCAAATACTTACTGGTTTAGTTACAGATCTAGGATAAAAACAAAACAAAAGCCTTAGTATTCAGCATCTTATTACCTTACAACCACCAATGAAACACACCACCAGTGTTTCAGGTACAAGCCAAAAACTCCCATTGAATATATAAAGCACTTTGTTATTCCATATTGGTTCATTGATTAACCAAGTTTTTCTACTTGTAATTTCTAGGTCAAGAACACGACATGGAAGGGATAAGCGAGAAGCTAAAGAAAAATCCACACACTGAATGAAATAAAATGTGAAGCTGCTTTCATGTAATTCGATAATTTGTTTTCAAAAGATCTCATTTTTAAAGAAAATTACCTCTTTTATCCTAATTGTTAATTTCCAAGTCACTCACTTGGACATCAGAGTTAAAGTAGCACACAACTTCACTATTTTATCAGAATGAAACCCAGGGAAAAACCATAGGCTGTGGTTGTGGGTTAATTTGTAGATACATGTGTTTCAATGCACTAATATAAGCCAAAAACATATAATTCTTTCTAAATGGAGGTTTATATTTCTAGGCTTTAATTAGATACTTAACTATATAATCTTTGGAACAGATTTTCTAGTTCTAAATCCTAATTCCAAAACAACCTCAAAAGGCTATTTAAAAAATCTGACCAATTTATCAAATATAAGGCATTTAAATTAACTAGCTGGAAGCTAGATACATAAAGTGAATCAGAAGCCCTTTTCCAATGGAAATATTCTATGCCACATATTTTGTTGCAGGAAATAAATGAAATTGATTTACTTCTGTATTTTTCCCTGATTTCGTCTTTTTGCTAGTTGAAAACTTACCCATAAATCTTTATAAGGATGGTTTTAAGGCTATACATCATTTTGTTTTACAAATATAATGCAGTGGCTGGGAATGGTGGTACATGCTTGTAATCTAGTGAGTCAGGAGGCTAAGGCAGGAGGTCGTGATTTCAAGACCAGCCTGGGTAACTGAGTGAGACTTTGTCTCAAATGAAAAACAAAAAGGACTAGGGGTAGTGGGAGAATGCCCTGGGTTCAATACCAGTACCAAGAAAAAACAAAAGATAAAGGCAAATAAATAAACCAAATATGATATAGTATCAGCTGATTATAATCAGAATTCTTAAAAATGTGGACACCTCTGCTCCACATTATATCTACTGAATCAAAATCTCAGTGATATTATTTCATATTTTTTTATTTGAAAACAAAACTCTAAAATTTGATGGAGTTTTGGGAATCATTTATAGAATCAACTAAGAATTAAAAGATATGACCCGGATTATAGTCCTGGGATACCTATATAGGCTTCATTGATTTCCTCAGCTGAAAAGATGAATGGGTTAGAATAGATTCTTAAGGTTAACTTAGCTCCAACATCTTATAAAGATGTGTCTTTATAAAAAATAATTAGGATGCAAACATACAAAGCAAAGACTACCAGATAGAGCCCTAATATCCAGAGTATACAAAGAACTCAAAAAATTAGACAATAAGATAACAAATAACCCAATCAACAAATGGGCCAAGGACCTGAACAGACACTTCTCAGAGGAGGATATACAATCAATCAACAAGTACATGGAAAAATGTTCACCATCTTTAGCAGAGAAATGCAAATCAAAACCACCCTAAGATACCATCTCACTCCAGTAAGATTGGCAGCCACTATGAAGTCAAACAACAAGAAGTGCTGGAGAGGATGTGGAGAAAAGGGTACACTTGTACATTGCTGGTGGGACTGCAAATTGGTGCAGCCAATTTGGAAAGCAGTATGGAGATTCCTGGGAAAGCTGGGAATGGAACCACCATTTGACCCAGCTATTGCCCTTCTCAAACTATTCCCTGAAGACCTTAAAAGAGCGTACTACAGGGATACTGCCACATTGATGTTCATAGCAGCACAATTCACAATAGCTAGACTGTGGAACCAATCCAGATGCCCTTCAATAGATGAATGGATAAAAAACATGTGGCATTTATACACCATGGAGTATTACGCAGCACTAAAAAATGACAAATTCATGGAATTTGCAGGGAAATGGATGGCACTAGAGCAGATTATGCTTAGTGAAGCTAGCCAATCCCTAAAAAACAAATACCAAATGTCTTCTTTGATATAATGAGAGCAACTATGAACAGAGCAGGGAGGAAGAGCAGGAAGAAAAGATTAACATTAAACAGAGACATGAGATGGGAGGGAAAGGGAGAGAAAAGGGAAACTGCATGGAAATGAAGGGAGACCCTCATTGCTATACAAAATTACATAAGAGAGGTTGTGAGGGAAATGGGAAAATAAACAAGGAGAGAAATGAATTACAGTAGATGGGGTAGAGAGAGAAGATGTGAGGGAAGGGGAGGGGGGATAGTAGGGGATAAAGGTAGCAGAATACAACAGTTACTAATAGGGCATTATGTAAAATTGTGGATGTGTAACCGACGTAATTCTGCAATCTGCATTTGGGGTAAAAATTGGGAGTTCATAACCCACTTCAATCTAATTTATGAAATATGATATGTCAAGAGCTTTGTAATGTTGTGAACAACCAATAAAAAATAAATTAAAAAAAAACCCAAAGACTACAAGAGTCAGAGGGAGAAGTGGTCACCTACAAGTCAAGGAGAGTGGCCTCAGCAAAAAAAAATTGACCTGATATCTTAATCTAGACTTTTGGTCTTCAAAAGTGTGAGAACATTTTTGGTGTTTAAACTACAAAGTATATTTGTTATGGCAGCTCTAGCAAACTAATTCAGTAACTAACCTGGAATATCTGAATATAGAGTTCTAAGCATAACTTAGACTCACTGAATGAGAATTTCTGTGGGTTGGTTTGATAATGTTTTTAGTATGCTGTACACAACAAGGTTTGAAAACCTTTAACATCTACTGTGATATTAAGACAAATTATATGTGAACGAATATATACAAAATTGAGTAAGGCTTTCTTTTAAATGGAGAGGCAAGTTCAATTAGTGAGAAATCTCAGATATAATGAGGGGTAGGACATAAAATCTGAGCATTAATGTAAGTATTGAAATTTATTGAACACTTATAAACCTCATTGTGTTAACTGATGTAAAGACACATAACTGTTATTTTCAATGATCTCCAAATATGGATAAGAAGAGGTTAGAGAGCTTCAATTTTTAATTCACCTCAAACTATTCAGTGAATTCTTGTATTCTGTAAGAAAATATAATGCTTAAGGTAAAAAACAGACTCATGAAGTTGGTGAGACAACATGATTGGCTGCAATTAAGTGAAAGGGAATAGACAAGGAAAATAAAAATCAAAGTCAAGGCCTAACCAAGATGAAGAGTCTAACAGAAGACTGCCAACACATTTAGCTGGCAGAAGCAAAAGAAAACTCCACAGCTGACACAACAACAACAAGGGAAGTGATAAGACAGTAGAAAATTATCTCCAATGTGTTGAAGATATTAAAGACCAAATAAGAATTCTGTATTCAGCAAAAATATCTTTGCAGGGCTGGGGTTATAACTCATGTGAATGAGGCCCTGGGTGTAATCCCCAGTATGGGTAAATTCTTTTTTTTTTTTTTTTTTTTTGCAGAATTAGGTGAAAATAGAGATATTTTCAGAAAACAAATCATGAACAAGCACATCACCAAGCACTCACACAAAATTAAATTCTAAAGGAAGTATGTCAATAATTTATCCTAGATGGCGTCTTCTTAGTCCATTTAGGTTGCTGTAACAAATGGGTAAATTATAGTAAGTAGAAAAATTATTTATCCCTGTTCCATGTGTTGGGAAGTAAAAGACCAAGATACTGGCAGGATTGACACCTGGTGAGGGCACATTTTCTGGCTCAAAGATGGTATCGTCTCACTGTGACTGCACAAGATAGGGGTGACTAGTCTCTCAGTTCTCATTTGTAAGGGCTCTGCCCACATGACCTTCTCACCTCCCAAAACCATTGTCCCAGGGGTTAGGATTTCAACATATGCATTATGGAGAGACACCAAGGTTCAGATCAAGTATTTAGCTTCATATACAAACAAACAAAAAACAAAAAAAGCAAACAAACAAAACAACCCAACAGAACAAGGAAGAGCTATTCAAGTGATTACACACACACACACACACACACATTGCACACATGTATGTTTGTAAACATATACTGACTAAACAGTCTTACAGAATCTTACAGAATTAAAGGCATAGAAGTACATGACAACTGAATTAAAAAACCAACAGAAATAAAATGATAGTAGTACATAAGTTGTGAATTTGAGGGAATTGTAGTTATTGTATCTGTATAATAAATAATTCCAAAGCCTAAATAGTACATAAATGATCCAGTGCATGAATTTGGTGAGTATTTGATATGGCATAGCACAGGCAAGAATGGCTTGTCTCTTTATTTCAAAAAGTCTAGTGCCTGGAAACAACTGAAGCCTTGCTTACTCACATGTCTGATACTTGATGATGGCTACAGATTGGTAGGCTCCATTTTGCTCCATATGGGCTACTTTGGATTCTATGGGTAAGCTTTTCAAGAGAAAGAATATGCAAGAAAGTGAAAGATAGGAAAGAGGAAATGTCAGTATGGCTCATTCTTGGAGATGCTGAGGGAGACTGAAGAGAGCAAGCTTCTAGAACATGCAGACTGTCAATATTGCTGTGGCCATTTTTGGAATATATAATCTGCCAAAAGGTAAAGGTAACTAATGATTAACTTTGGCCTTATTTGCCTGTATGTAGAATAATCATTAAAGATAGAAACAAGTCAAGAGAAAAATGCTTATAGCTCAGGAAAACAAAAACCATATAATTTAAGAAATAATTTAACAGTAAGGAATTGGTAAACAGGTTTTGGAGAACTGAAAGTGTCCACAAGGAAAGGATCATTAAAAGGAAGAAGGTGGGATTACTAGGCCCTAGAAGCTTAGAAGAGACATACTGCAGAATGGCAGAAAAAAGCTAAAACCTGGGGGACTACCAAAGCTAGCAGGAGAGCCATTGTGAAGGTGATTCTAACAATATGGGAGACAAATGGAAAGGGGAAAGTTTCTTCTGTCTCCAGCATTCCAGTATCCTTACAGTACCCCTTATTTAAAGAACCTAAAAGGAAGCCATGTGACAAAGAAGAAATTAGTTTGTAATTCCAGCCACAGAGTCCGTGAACATAGAAGAGTAGGTTTGGAGTTGAGAGATAATCAGTTAATAGCATAAATGGAGTAACAAAATAAGTAAATACACATTTAAAAAGACTCACTGAATGAGAATTTCTGTGGGTTGGTTTGATAATGTTTTTAGTATGCTGTACACAACAAGGTTTGAAAACCTTTAACATCTACTGTGATATTAAGACAAATTATATGTGAACGAATATATACAAAATTGAGTAAGGCTTTCTTCTAAATGGCAGAAACAAATCTAAATGTGTTGGTAATTACATTAAATGTAAACAGTATAGGTGTTCCAGTGACAAGACAAATATTATCAGATTGGGTTGACAAAACCCATCAAAATTCAAACTTTATGCTATGCATCTGACAAACATCTAAAAAATAAAAATACAGAAAAACTAAAAATAAATGAATGGAAAATTTATCCCATGAAAACATTAATCACAACTTTAAAGCAAAATATATTACCAATATACAATTCACAGTGAGAGGATATAATTCACCAGGAAAATATACAAGTTAGAAAATTAACATGTAATTCAGCTTTAGTATGTATAAAAAGAAAAAAATACTAGGAAAAATCATTGGGTGATTTTTCATTTACCTATTTTAATAATTGACATAATAGGTTTATTAAAAACCAGTAAGAGATAGTAGAGGATAGGATAGGAAAGGTAGCAGAATACAACAGTTACTAATAGGGCATTATGTAAAAATGTGGATGTGTAACCGATGTGATTCTGCAATCTGTATTTGGGTTAAAAATGGGAGTTCATAACCCACTTGAATCTAATGTATGAAATATGATATGTCAAGAGCTTTTTTGTAATGTTTTGAACAACCAATTAAAAAAACAGTAAGATTTAAATAATGCAATTAACAATTGACATATGCAACAAAGTACCCCTAATGACTACAGAATGTTTTTTTTTAAATGCATAAACAATTACTACAAAAAATGATGATATTTTGGGCTACAGAGGGATCTTAAGTAAATTTAAAGTATTAAAAATCAGAAAGGTCAAGTGTTGGCGAGGATGTGGGGAAAAAAGGCACATTCATACTCTGCTGGTGGGACTGCAAGTTGGTGCAGCCATTCTGGAAAGCAGTATGGAGATTTCTTGGAAAACTGGGAATGAAACCACCATTTGACCCAGCTGTCCCACTCCTCGGCCTATACCCAAAGGACTTAAAAACAGCATACTACCGGGACACAGCCACATCAATGTTAATAGCAGCACAATTCACAATAGCTAAACTGTAGAACCAACCTAGATGCCCTTCAGTAGATAAATGGATAAAAAAACTGGTATATATACACAATGGAGTATTACTCAGTAATAAAAGAGAATGAAACCATGGCCTTTGCAGGTAAATGGGTGGAATTGGAGAATATAATGCTAAGAGATGTTAGCCAATCCCAAAAAAACAAATGACAAATGTTTTCTCTGATATAAGGAGGCTGATTCTTAGTGGGGTTGGGAGGGGGCACATGGGAGGATTAGATGAACTCTAGATAGGGCAAAGGTGTGGGAGGGGAAGCGAGGTGGATAGAAATGATGGTGGAAAAAGGTGGACATCATTACCCTAAGAACATGTATGAAGACACAAATGGTATGAATATACTTTGTATACAACCAGAGATATGAAAAATTGTGCTGTATATGTATAATATGAATTGTAAAGCATTATTCTACTGTTGTATATAACAAATTGGAATAAAAATAAATAAGATTTAAAAAAGGAAGATATATAGACAATTAAAAAAATTAGAAAAGTCACTTTTTCTCCTGAATAAAATTTAATTAAGCTACAAATCAAAATACAAAGATTACTAGTAAACCTATACATTTGGAAATTAAATACTCTCCTAAAAAACCCAAGGGATAAAGAGAAAATGCTAATAAAAGCTCAAAAGTATTTTAGTTAAGTATGAATAATAATATGCGTCAAACCTTCTGGGCTGTGGTTAGAATAGTAGAGTATAATGTATTCATATTACAAAAGTGTAGAGATAATTTTTAAATGCATACATTGGAAAAGACAATTTGAAAATGAATGAGGTAACATCCATTTCAAAAGGTTACAAACAAGAACAGTAAAAACTCTTAATAAAATGAAAAAAAATAAGTACTATTGATAAAGCAGAAATTAATCAATGAGACTCAAATATAAAAAGTGGAGCAAGAAAACTGAATTTGGAGAGTAGAAGACTAAACTGTCACTATGCTTTGTGTGTGGGGGGTACTGAGGATTGTACCCAGAGGCACTTTACTAAGTCCTCAGGCCTTTCTTAATTTTTTTTTTAAACATTTTGTCTTGCCAAGTTGCCTTGAACTGGCCTCACTTTGAAACTTCAATCCTTCTGTCTCAGCTTCCAAAGTCACTGATTACAGGCAAGCACCATTCCACCTGACTAAACTGTCCTTTTTGAAGTAAGATGATATATAGAAAAAAAAAAAAAGTACTGCAAATAATTTACAAGAATTACTAAAGAGTTTAGGACGTTTTCAAATGGAAAAGCAATACAAAGAAATAAACTGTAATTTACACATAATCAAGTTATGAAATTATGTGGGCTAAATAATTTGCATTAACATTCTAATTAGAATGCTTTAGAAAATTTCGATAAAGTATATTTCTTAAAAACATGGGAAAACATTGGCGTTGATGTTAGTAAACAAGTTCCCAGGTTAATAGATGGGAGAACATAGATATTCAGAATTGTAAACCTTTTATTTGGAACTATTGTGTCCTGAGATGATTTACATATACATTTGCAAGAAGTCACTGAGAAGCTAGCTGCGTGGAGCCTTATTTCTAGTTTAGGGATTCAAAGGTAGATCATAGGTCAGTCAAGAGGCAGGGGCTCTGGTAACCTCAACTGATCCTACAGAAAGTAGAGTGGCGGAAACTTAAGAGTAAGGGTGAACAGGAAGGAAGTCACAGTGCAAGTATAGTCTAGTAGTTCATGTTTGAATCACACAGCAGGCCCAGAAAAATCTCTGTCTCTGGAACTGGATCAAAGTGGTCCTAACTAATCTGTGCTCAAGTATCTGGTAAAAACAGAAAATATCATCCTGGGCATCAAATTATTTCTATAGGTTTTCATATACAATATTGGCAAGCAACTGAACATAACGAGACACAGGATGCAAGACAATAAGATAGAAAATAAAATAAAAATAAAAATAGATCCACAGGAAGGTTTTAAATTCTGGGATTATTAGATACAGACTATAAAATAATTGTTTTTCATGTTCAAGTAAATAAGAGATTTTTGGCAAAATCACTGCAAACTCCAAGAGTGACAGGTTTGCATGTTTACAGTTACAAATTTAAGAAATGAAAATGCAAAGGTCTAAGAACAACCAAGACATTATTACATAACAATAAATTGGGAGTACTTGTTTTGCCAAATGAAAGGTAGAACAGTGGTAATTGGCAAAGGGTGTGTGAGGAAGATGGATGTGATTGAGGAGTACAGAGGGAGTTTCTGGGCTGCTTTCAATGTTCTGTTAAATGAAAATATTGGTTATATATGTAGTTACTTCAAAATTATTCCTTAAACTGCATGTTTATTTATTTATTTTTTTAATGGACAAAATGCCTGTATTTTATGTGGTGCTGAGAATCTAACCCAGTGCCTTCCACATGTGAGGCGAGCACTCTACCACTGAGCTACAACCCCAGCCCACATGCTTACATTTTATGTACTTTTTTTGAATAAATATTCTCAATTCAAATAACAAAATTTTTTAAGACATGAAAAGAAAAGTGTATACAAATTACCTATTGATACTTACACTGTTTTCCAAGATCTCAATGCCTGATTTGTTTCTGAATCTGTAAAAAGTAAAATAGTTATGTCCATTCTACAGGAATGCATACTAAATGATCAGACAGTTGCAATAACAATAAATTTATGATTATATTCAATGTAATTGAAAAAATTAGGTCAAGAGATTCTTTTTTTTTCCATCAAGATTTCAGGAGAACAAATTTCTGTTTTCTTTTTCACTAATTATAAATTGTGGACTCTATGGCTGAACTTTGACAGTTGCTACCAGAATGTGCCATAATATATAAAATACAAAAATAAAGATACATATTAATTTCCAAGTTCTATCTTTGGGATAATTTACGAGAAATTTAAATAACATAACTGCTTTTAACTCTAAAAAGGAAAGGATTTTCAAAATTCCCAGTATATGATCTGGGAGTTACCAGATCTAGGTTTTACATGGTAACGCCTGACTGACTATCCATCTATTTTTGATGTTGAAGATTGAACTTACACCCTTGTGCATGCTAAGTGCACACACTACCACTGAGCTACACACGATTCCTCCTGTGCCCCCCCCACACCCCAGTGCTAGGGATTGAACCCAGGTCCTGACGCATGTTGGGCAGGCGCTTTACCACTGAGCCACATCCCCAGCCCCTCCCCCAATGTTGAAGTAATGTCTCTCCACTTCCATGAATGTTTATCTCCATAACGACAAAACATAAATAGCAGGCAATATAAAACATTTCTCACACAATGAAGAGCAAAATCAGAATATGTGGAGCCAACTGTTATACATGGTTCAGAAAAACGTTCTCAAATTTCTTAATTTATTTTTAATAAACAAAAAATTATTCAGTGAAATTGTACAAAATCATTTTTGCACCTGGTATTTCAATCACCAACAGTGATTTCATGGTACATAAACAAAACAATGAGAAAAATTGTCATTTACTTCACCCTGGCTTTCTAGTGTAGAATTAACTAGAAGAAAGGATGTTAATAGCTATTACCTACAGGGAAAAAAAAAGTAATAATGAAATGGCTGTGGGTTTAATTACAAAATGAACTTTATCCTCACTGATTTTGTTTATGTTGGCTACAGCACAGATGTCTATACATAACAATTTATAGCATAGTTCTGAATTTACTTCTAAAGAGATGAGATGACTTAAGTAAAATATTAGCAAGCTGACATTTGATCATACTGAGGATTGCTGAATGGCTACCTGGAAAACAGCAATTACTGTCAAAGAACATAAGACAACGTAAAAGTGGAAAAAAGGCTTCTTACACAAAAGTCCTTTAATTCCTACTCTCTAAAGTTCCAAGCCATACAGCCTTGGTATTTCTGGATTCAAATTTATATAAGATGAATTTTCAGAAAATTGGAGAATATAGTGCATGGTGAACAAAAATTGCTCATTTCAATGGTACCTTTTCCTTAAAACTCATTCTTTATTTTTCTCTATCTCCCAATGAATAGATTATCATTTAACTAATCAAATGCACTTTCCACTCCCAAATACATTTTCCAATTGGATACCTTTATAAAAGGAAACAAAATATCTGGGTGATAAAGCAATTTAAACTATTTATAAATGGAAAAGGAAAATAAATACAGAGTATACAGAGATACCAAACTGGAGCAATATTGATGTGAATCTAGTTTCTAGTTTATCAAAGTACCTATTAATGGTACTTTGGTGAACAGGAGAGTAGAGTAGAAGAAAAAGGGCTAGAGGAAATGACTTCCTGAGGTTATAAAATGCCAGTTGCTTTAGAATGCATGATAGTCTTAGTAATAAAAGAATCACTTGCTGTTTTCACTGAGTTTACAGTGTTGAGAACTATTACATCATTTTAATGAAAGCATTTATATGAACATCTGCCATAGAAAACAAGTTTTTCTTGATAAAGACTTAAAAAAATAATTTATTTTTTTTTTATCCTTGTCAGTTCCCTTTCTGGGAATGGGGAATAAAACAACATGTTTCCTTTTAAAGCAAAAATATTTTTTCTCTCCATTAGGTTGCTGGAAGAAAAAAAATCAAGACTCTACTAGTGATGATTTTTTTAATTTCTAACACTCCCTTTACAAAACCTTTTAGTCTTATATATTATGACAATCAAGTTTGGAGTTCCAAATAAATAAAATACCCACATTAGAAGGTATATTTAAAAATCAAATGATTAGCCACATTTATCTGTTCACATTCATGGATTTTCTAAGAGGGCTGTCAAGAGTCTGTATAATACTATTAACATTTATTTCAAGTTAACATGTGTCATTTGACCATTTGCTCATGGTTTACAACACTGATGACATCAACAAAAATCCTGATTTTGGGGAGACAGTGATATAATAAATTCTGTTTAAACTAGCAGGGGTAACAGGATACTAAACTATACACAATTTAAAATTTCTAACTCTTTTCTCTACCACTACAATCTCTCTTCTCACCATGGTATTAAATTTTCAAAAGCCTAATTGTATAAGAGGTGCAGGGTGCTAAACACTATTTGTATTGAAAAACGGATCTCAGATACTAAACAAAAAAATAAATTTATAAAGTAGAATTAAACTTTTGGATGGCTGCGTTCACTACTTTCCATTTCTTGATTCTTTCCTCTTCTGGTCACAAATACTTTGTTCCTTCTTTTCATCCAGAAAGCTTAATACACCAATTTGTTGTAAGTATTATAAAATGGTATTCCAGTTTACAATTGCTTGTGATCACAGCCACGTGTGAAGCATTAGACAAGTGTACAGTATACAAAATGTTTCATAATTCTTCGGTGTAGTTTTCTACTGATGTTTCCCTTAAATTAAGGCTTCATCAAAGAGAAATCCATAATATTATAAGCTGATTTTTTTTTAGCTTCTGAATTAAGTGCACTCTTTCCAAAATCAAGTAGTCTTGGAGGAACTTTAAGACAACTTCTATTAATCAGTGTCATGACTAAAGTAGTATCTTACAGGAGGTCCTGGCAAATCTTCATCTCCATCAATGTCTGGGGCAAATGATACAGTAAGATCCACATATTTTTTTTCAGTAGAAGGTTTCACCAGTTTGTGCATTCTAAGAAAAATAAGCAAAGATGAATACTTTGGTAAATTCTGTAAAATGCAAGAATGATTTGCTAACTAATGCTATCCAAAGAATAAGAACCTGTATCTAGACTTTATTTTAAAATCTAATATTCCATTTGTTGTTATATAATCATTTTTCTTTACTGAAAGCTCTGAATTTAAAAATAGTTCTTTACCTAACAGTGAAACAATTTGGACCACTGCTGGTAATGATAAAGAATACTGGCTATTTACTAAGAGACCAAAAAAAAAAAAGCAATAATTTTGAAAAATTAATTCTTTTCCCATACTCTCTTAGAAAGTTTGGAGGCATCATATTCTCTAGTATTTCTGTTTTTAAAAAAAGTAAGAAATCTTAAAATGCAATTTATTTCCAGCCTCTAGTTTCCCTCACCTCTATACAGTTGCCAGAATTCTCTTAAAATATAAGTCTGATGTTGTTCTGTTGCCTAATATTATCCATCAGGGGCTGGGGTTGTGGCTCAGTGGGCTGGGGTTGTGGCTCAGTGGTAGAACGCTTGCCTAGCATGTGTAAGGCTCTGGGTTTGATTGTCAGCACCACAAAAAAATAAATAAAGATTCAAGACAACTAAAAAAAAATTAAAAAAATATTATCAGATAATGGTACCAACTTCAAGCCAGACTCTGAACTATGTAATCAAAACAAGTAAGTAGCTGTATAAGCAATGTGAACCCAGGCTTTTCTAAAGCTAACCTCATGCTCTGAGCCATAACATCACTGAGTGACCTAAAGTGTCCAGATGCTTGATAGGTAACTCAACTATCTGCTAAATGAACAATGTAATAAGAAATATTGTTCAAAAGCCCATCATGCTGGAGATACTTTGTCAATTCTCAATTTTTCTTATTTGAAGCAAATTTTAAATTCCATTAGTCAATATACTTCACAACATATCCACTCATGTCTTGGTAGCATTTAACAAAAGAATTCTAAATACTACTCTGAATTTATTCAAAAGTCACTTTGAGATCCTGATGAAAAACAATAAGGTAAGTTAATGCCTTAGCTAATATACTAATTTTGTTTTTATAGGTAAAAATAATTAGGATGATTATATTAACCTTAATTGATAAACATAGTTACAACTCACAGGTATGTTAAAGAAAACCATCATGTAGATATTCATTGATTCATGACAAATATGCATTGATACTTATTATATGTTAGATATTGGTCTAAGTGCTTAAGATAAAAAAATGACCAGATAAAACAAAGATTTCTATCCTTGTGATATTTATATTGTAGTGTGGGTGTGAGGAGAAGACACAAGATAAATAATGGATATAAGCAAAATTTACAGTAGCCATAAGACAATTATTAGTGCTATATAAAAACGAAAAAGTAGGAAAAAGGGGGTTGGGCACACTAGATTGGAGTTAGCACAGGTTATAGTATTAAATATGGTTGAGAAAAGATTTTTTAGGAAATACAAAGACCAAAGGTGAGAATAAGCCAGTTCTCCATCTCACAAAGAATGATAATAAGGGGGAGTAACTAGAACAAAGGTCCCATGCTGGACCATGGCTAGGGTAATCATGGAAAAGTAAGGAGGCCAGGGTATCTGTAATATCATGAACAAGAAAAATAGGAAAGTAAGTTAGGGGGAAAACTAAGAACCAGATCATTTGGGACCTTGCAGACTATTTTTAAAACCTCAGCTTTTTTGGTTCTCCCTCCCTTCCTCCCTCCCTTTTCTCTCTCTGCTCTTATGCCATCTTACAAAGTGAGAATATGAGTGGCACAGGGAAAATCTAGACTAACTTCAACTAAAAATCCTACTTTCCACATTTCCTTTCCTTTTTTTTTTTTTTTAAATTTTCTTCATAGATGATTTATCATCTGACACACTTGTGTAGGAAGGGACTCTGCTTTGTTTACTGCTGTAAATCTAATGCTTAGAGCAGAACCTGGCACACACTGCATACCTTTAATAAAAACATGTCAAATAAAGGAATAAAACTAAATGGCATGTTCTTTTCTTCTTTTTTCTTTCAGTACTGGGCATTGAAACCAGGTATTACATATACTAGGCAAGTACTCTATCACTGAGTTGTATCTTCAGCTCTTTTTTGAGATAAGTTCTTGATAAATTGCCCAAGCTGGCTGAAACTTGCAATCCTTCTACCTCAGCCTCCTGAGTAACTGGGATTAGACATATATGCCACTATGGCCAGTTTGGCATTTTTGTTTTATACTTCAGTCTCATGATCCCAGTCATCACTGCATTTCCACTGAGATGGATCTACTTTTACTTAGTGTATTGACTATATCAAGTTTCTAAGTCTGTTAGCTAAAAACCTGATTGATCTACAAAAACTTTACAAAGGTACTGTAACCCCATGATTTTCTTCTGAGAGATTATTGGCTTTCCCCTGGCAGATTCCCTGTCTTTACCAATGTCATTAGACAAAAGTAATGCTTTTATATGGATTTCCAAATGTTCTATATTTAATTTTTCAATCTGTATCCAGCTTATGTTTTGACTCTTTTGTGTATGCCTGATACTTACGTTAACTTTAATCTTTTTGCATGACCAGGCATTACAGGAACATAGAGCATTTTTACTCCTTGTACCACCATTGTTGGCTCAATTCCATACTTCTCCTAAAAGTGAACACCCAAGAGGGAAAAATGAAATACTTGAGTAAAAATGTTACATTACCAGTAAAAAGAGAACAAGCTTATGATAAATAATATTTGTAACTTCCAGTAAAGCTAGGGATAAAACTTAGTTGTCCCACTAATCCATGATTTTGTTTTCTAAAGTTGACCATAGTTTGAAAATATTAAATAAAAAAATCCAGAAAAAAGTTTTAAATTGTGTTCAGTACCATGATGAAACCCCAAGCTGTTCTGCTCTAACTCATTCAGGACTGGAATCATCCTTTGGTTCAGCATATACCTGTTGTAGAGTGCTACCCACTCACTAGGTGCTTAGTAGGTGTCCTGGTTATCATATCGTTTGCTGCAATACTAGTGTTCAAATAACCCTTATTTTATATAATAAGGAGCCTCAATGTGCAATAATATTGATGCTGGCAATTCAGACATGCCAAAGACAAGCTATAAAATGCTTCAAGTGAAACAGTAAAAATTCTATAATTCATAAGGAAATAAAAAATCCTATGCCAAGGTTACTAAGATCTACTGTACAAAAAAGCATTTTGAAAAAAAGACATTTTCATTATAGTATATACTATAATTGTTCTATTTTTAAAAAATATTTATTTTTTAGTTTTAGGTGTATACAATACCTTTATTTTATATTTATGTGGTGCTGAGGATCAAACCTAGTGCCTCAAGCATGCTAGGCAAGTGCTCTACCACTGAGCCAAAACCCAAGCCCTTATAATAATTGTTCTATTTTACTATTATCATTGTTAATCTTTACTGTACCTAATTTATAAATTAAACAATAGATGAAGAGTTCAGTGTTGTTTGTAGTTTCAGGCATCCACTGAGGGTCTTGAAATACCTGAATAAGAAGGGACTACTAGACTCAAAGCTACTAATAAACTAAAAGAATAAAAAGTATCTCACTTTAACTGCATTTATGAAATCCAAGAGTGTGAAATCTTCTTTTCCATGTACAGTCCATCTGTCCCAAATTGTAAATGATATTCCATTTCTGTTGCAAAAAACAGAAACATTTAAATTTTCTTCCCTTCAATAATAATAATAATAATAACAACAACAACAACACCTCCTGCAGTCCATTAAAAAGAAAAAATATAATTGCTAAAATAGTCCACCACTTATTTCCTATAACATCAGGTAATCACTTTTATCTGTACCTTGTTGACCCTTTCAGTGTTCTATTACAAATCAGTATGTTTCACTTAAGAGAATGCTGGCTGTCGTTTTTAACAGCTAGACAGGTTTCATTGTGTGGATGTTCCAGACCCTTATTACCAGACATTTGAGTTGTTCTAATCATTGGCTATTATAAACAATACTAGAATGATTATCTTGCATATATATAATTTAAGATGTGTACAAATATATTTGCAAATATGAAATACAGGGCCATATTTCTGTTATGTACTAATACTATTTTGTATTCTCATCAGCAAAGTGTAACAGTGCTTACTTTTGACCATCTTTGCTACGATTTTTTTTTTTTAAGTCTTTGGTTATTGTCAACCTAAAATGTGAAAAATGGAGGTTATTGTTTTTCATTGTCACAAGCTTGTGGAATTAGATTCTAAACCTAAGGACCCACAGACACCAGAGTGCCTTCTAATTTATGTAGGTTAGGCAGTAAGATGAAACCATAAAGTACAATGCTAAATTGTGTGACAGAGCAAGTGCTGTGAGAGTTTTCTGGCTAGTTTAGTCAGAAATGATTCATGAAGGTAAGGTTTGATCTGGTCTTGAAGTGATGACAAGGATTTATATATCAGAAAGAGAGGTGAAACCAGTATTTTCCCTTTGAAATGATAGAATCTATTATTTCATTCAGAATATATTATTTCATTCTTTTCCTTCATACATACCTGATATCAGTCTTTCTTACTTCTGACGTCTCTGTAAATACTATAATTGGAATGGCTAAGTTAAGGAAACAATTTTTGTAAGCTTCAAAAGGATAGCCACCAGTTACTTTGATCATCTCCAAGGCAACCTAGATGAAAGAAGGTGATTTGATTATATAAATAGCCTAAAAATATTCATGTGACTATAATTGGATCTACTCGGTTTTCCCAAGTTCAAGTACTTCTTTGTAATGAGTAAAAGCAGCTATAAGACAGGAGTAATGAATTTCTTTCTTTTTTTGGTGGGTGGATACCAGGGATTGAACTCAGGAGCACTCGACCACTGAGCCATATTCCCAGCCCTATTTTGTATTTTATTTAAAGACAGGGTCTGAGTTGCTTAGCGCCTTGACATGCTGAAGCTCACTTTGAACTCGAAATCCTCCTGTCTCAGTTTCCAGAGCCTCTGCTATTACAGGTGTACTCCACCTGTAATTTCATATTTTTAGGCCTCTACATTTTTAGTATATTTTATTTGTTAATTTTCAATCTATTCCTTATAAGCAAAATTATTTAAAAATATTAATTTGACTATGGAATATTCTTATTCTGAAAACAGATGACAGAACTCAAAAAATATATCAGTCTAAAATCACTCAATATAGGGGCAGATAATTAACTACATTATTTGGAAAAATATTTTGAGAATAATAATAAAATAGTATAATAACTAGGGCATACTAAAGATTCTGAATTATTTAAAGATAGGAAAGTTCATTTTATTCAAGAGTACCTGTTATATATGGAGGACACAATGATGACTGATCATAATCTCTTCTAAGCCATTTTTTATGTTAAAATGTTTATACACATAAAACCTCAAAGTGTAGATTATTGTGTATTCAAAAAAATCTTGAGAATTTTAATTGCAAGACACAATATTTATTCTACCATCTCTAACATCTGAGTGACTATCTGGGGCTACAACGGAAACAGGCAATGAAAAAGAAACATTTTTATTTGAAGAATAAACGTACCAAGCCAGAAACCGTAGCAGTGGATGTAGCTATAGCTGGTATAATTTTACCAGCTATGCGCTTTGTTTTGAAACGGTCAGCTGGTTCAATGCTATACATTTTGGCACGAAGATTGGATGCAGCTGTGATGAAATCTATGTGTCCATTACTATCATCATCTTTTTCAAATGAAAGCACTGCCATCTGAAGGTCACCTAATCATAGTGAACAGAAGAACAAAATTCTCAGTAAGTGGTAAAGTTATTGATATATATATATATATATATATTAAAGATTTGCTTTTATATTTTTAAATGATTGAAAAATATAAGAAAAATCCAAACAATTGAAGTTATATAGAGAATATAAAAAGAAATTAATGGCTTTAGTACCACAAAACTAGAAGTTTTTCTCTCTCAAACCCCTTTCTAGTAAAAAGCAAAATAAGAAAGCTAAAGACCACATATCTGTTGCCAAATGGCTTATAATAAAAACATCAATATCTGATCTTATTAAAAATTTACTCCATAAATCCTACCCTGGGACATTTTCCCTCTGACAACTATTTGGGTCAGTTGGTCAAGTAAAAATATGTATCTTTTTGGAAGATTTCCAGTTATTCTAGTGATTATTCTAAATTATTTTTTCTGAAATTTTACTGGTGCATACACAGAATCCCAAAAGTCTTGGAACCACTGGTTTATGTAACAAAAGATAGTTAGGAAGCCTAAACATAAGAGCAAATGGTTCTGTGTTTAAAAAACTGAAAGTTCTGTTTTCCTGTATTTTAATATGTAAGACCATTCAGTAAAGATGTTCAGGTCAGTTTATATTCCCGGACAGTAATTACAGAGAATAAAAAGAATTCTGTATGATTCTTTATTCTAAAGTGATTTAAATGGGTCTATCTAGACATTGGTCTCAATAAGGACTCCATTAACCTAAATTTTTAATATTTTAAAAACAAGAGTTCTTTGCTCATCTCTTTAGACTGCTTACTATCTGAATAACTAAAACAATAAGAGCTACAACAAAACAGTTAATGTGATTTGGAGAATTAGATTTCAACATCTGAAGGTAGAATCATAGTAGGGAAAATGATGAATTTAGTCAGAGAAAGATGAATAGTGACTTTCATATGATTGATATTACTACTATTATTATTTAATCCGACAAACTTTGGTATGGAGCTTTGTGAAAAAAAATCTTTTATATACAGTTTTGCTTACTTTTGGTAGCTTCATTAGATGAAATAGCCTTTTCTAGTTGGAAAATAGCATTCCTCTCATCTTCACTACTAATTGGAACATGATCTGGTTTCCTTGCGGTTTCATCTGTTTGAACAACCTTTAAATAGACATATTTATTAACATTACCACATTCTGCATCATTTATCTGTTTTTTTCAAATAGGTCAGAAAGAAAAAATATTTCCTCCGTGTATTTTAATCAGATTATTAATCATTATGGTTTAACATATGTTACATATTCCCTTGGGACTACTGGTATTTATATATTTGTTTTGTGGTACCGAGTGCATGCAGTATATGGTACTCATGCATGCTAGGCCAGAACTCTACCATTGAGTTATATCTCTGGCTCTTTTAAAATTTTTTTATTTTGAGATAGGATCTTGCTAAATTGCCCAAGCTATCTTTCAACTTCCTCTTACCTCAGTCTTCCAAGAGTTGGGTACAGGTGCGTGTCACCATGCCTGGTTATATTTTTGTTTAGGTTATTATCTCTCTTCTCACACTGGGCATATACATTGTGTGAGAATAGGGCTCTTTATTTATCTTGTTCACTGAGAGACCTCCAATATATCTAGAACAAATCTTTTCATACTAGGTGTTAAAAATATTTTAACTGAATAGCTTATGTAGTTCTTTTAAAATTTCACACTAAAATGAAGTTAATATTAAAATAATTTTGATTCTGACAAATCTACTTTCAATCAACTGCCTTAGTGCAGAGCTGTTTTATGTAGTAAAGGAAATTGAAGAATAAAATAACACATAAAAGTATATAAAATATATAAACTGAATGCTGAAAAAAAGTTTTTTCCTAAAGAATATTTTTCTTCATAATACAATAATTTATCATGTTAAAAGTGGTATATATCACAAATAATTATCCTTAAGAAACTATTAAATATTCTATAAAATATGAATAGTTTCAAATAAAAAACTAGTTTCATAATTACTTAATAAAGTACTATTTCTCATTTAAAAATACATCCAATTCATGTTTTCACAGATTAAACATTATTACAAATATTTAACATGTTAGAGTCAAGAAAGCAGAAACTTTTGTATGTCAGAATGTCTAATTGATACTTTTGGTATGAACTACTTAAAAGAATTGTAAAAAGACTATAATTCATGTTAAAATCATAGCTTAACTGCTCAGGAAAATTTATTATCCTTGAATTTCCGATACACATAGAAGCAATGAAAGCCAGTATACTGAAGGAAGAGAAATAAAGGCCAGTAAAGTTAATGAAGCATGTTTCCTTAGCTTCTGTCTAGTTTCATCCATGAGAGAAACATGGGCTAGGAAACTTCTTCATTTGAAATTTCTACTAATCTTTATTGTACTTTTATTCTCTACAGGCTAGATGTCATGAACATTTCATATAGCACAAATGCCTAAAAGACTTCACTTCCTCCTAAGTAAAAGGCAGAATGGAAGACTGCACACACTAATTCTTCCTTGAATTTTGTAGAAAGTCATTATTCCACTTTATCTCATATAGTTAAAGGGTAAAAGTGGATGACTTTTAGAGTGCATGCAAAAAATGCACACACTAAATTTGTGAAAAAGAAAAATGCTTTGATATTTTCAAACTTTCCTATTTATGTTGCCTAAATTTTACGATCTATCATTATTATATTTCTTTTCTGTGTTTTTAAAATACGTTTTTAGCTGTAGATGGACACAATATCTTTATTTTTATTTATTTACCTTTATGTGGTGCTGAGGATTTAACCCAGGGCCAAGCATGCAAGGCAAGTGCTCTACCACTGAGCTACAACGCCACCTCCCCCTTTTTTAAAGGTTTTTTGTAGTTGTAGATGGACAGAATGTCTTTGTTTATTTATTTTTATGTTGTGCTAAGGATTATACCTAGTGCCTCATACATGCTAGGCAACCACTCTGCCGCTTAGCTACAGCCCCAGCTCCATTTGTTTGTTTTTGTGATGCTGGCAATCAAATGCAAGACCTTGTGCTTGCTAGGCAAGTGCTCTACCACTGAACCATATTCCCAGCCCCAGCACCCTAGCATATTTGATAAACAAAATTACAGTCTTAGATATCCAATTTTCCATGTATGCTACAGTATAATAGTACCCCAACAGCTAAATGTAACTGAAAAATGGTAAAAATCTTTTTCTCCACCAATATTTAGTAGAATATGTTAAGCACAGTGGGTCTTCAGGGTTTTCTTGCAATTTTATTACATTTTAAATTAAGAGACTTTTCCACTCTGCTGGGCAATGATTTCATACCTTCTTTTCTCTGTACTAACTTCCTTTATCTTCTTATCTCCTTAACTCTGAACAACTAAGCTTACTTCTAATTTCAACCAAGAATGTAATCTTTTTTTCTCTCACATTCCACTCTAAATCCCTTAGAAATCCTCTCAGAACTACAGTAAATTATATAGAGAATCCAATTCTTTCCCAACCAGTAACCTACTACACTTATTCAAACCATTATCTCTTGCCTGTGTGTTCTTACAAGAACTTTTGAACAGCTTTTCCTGCTTTTCTGTGTGTCTTAACATTCATTCTTATAGTCATTTATCCTTTTAACATATTGTTATTCCTCTGCTTAAAAATCATCCACTAGCTTCTTATCTCAAAGTAAAACACAAAATATCTAGCTTTTCTAATTTCTTTCCCCTATTGATTTTTTCTTAGCATTTCTGTCTATACTAATATTATTATATGTTTATTGGCATTTCATATGGTACATCTCTGTCCCACTGAAATATAACATCTGTAAGGGTTTATTGTAGTATTCTCCAGGTTTAGAATGGAACTTGATACGAACAAAAGTCCATGAGTCTATTGTTAAATGAATTAATTTCTAAATTTACCTTGTTGGAAGGTTTGAATTCCTGAATCTTTACTTCTGAAAGAATACTCAAAAGGGCTTCTGTTGACAAGTCCTGTTTTTTTAAAAAAGCAATAAACAAACATAATTCTCTAATTCTGAATTCTAAAGCTAAAAACATCCAAAAAGTCCTTTACCCAAATTGTGAATAATTTACCATCTGAAATATTTAGGCTATATCCATTTGAGACACTTAGGTTTATTTTTATAAAATTATCACCCATAATGGCTATAGGGGGAGAAGAGACTAGGGTGAAAAAGTACTTATCTGTCAGCAAACCTGAAATTTTAGCTCTTTTTGAAGATTTTTAAAAAAGGATTACCTTTATTATTTTTAGCACCAATGTTTTTACAAAGTCCCTTGCACAACATTCTGTTCAACAGATAAGCAAATGAACTTCACACTTTGAAAAACAAAATATTCAAATGACTAAAGATGAACTTAGATCAATTTAAGGTTTTTGGAGCCATATTCATAGTATTAAAAAGCTGCTTGGACACAAGGCTTTTCTTTCTTTTTGGTTCAAGGGATTGAACTCAGGGGCACTTTACCACTGAGCTATATCCCCAAACCTTTTTATTCAGAGAGTGTCTTGATAAGTTGCTAGGGTTCTCACTTAAGTTGTCAGCCTTGAACTTCAGATCTTCCTGCTACAGCCTCCTGAGTCACTAGGATTATAGGCATGAATATACTGCTTCTGAGGTCAATTACTACTCTTATAAAATAGCTGCCATATTTTTTGTAAAAAATAAAATGCTGTTATTGCTATTAGACATTTGTGATATATTTTATATATATTAACTAAAAATGATTGGATTTATAATAGGCAATTTTACCTGGATCCAAAATTGCCTATTATAAATATATATATATTCAGTATAATATGGATCCAGTTCATATTTCTTTATTTGGCCTATGTGAGAGTATAGCAATTTATTTAGCTCTAATATGCATTTGCGAAGAAAAATCAACCAATGCACACTTGTCTCGCAAGATTATATGTGATCCTTTGGATATGAGTCAACAAACATGATGTCTAGGACAGTGACTATACTGATAAGGGTAAGAAAGTTCAATACAGGGGAGGGTTTTTAGATTTCTGGAAACATGTAAGTTAATATTACAATAAGTAAAAAATAATTAATAAAGAGAATCTCTAAGAGTATTTAAAATTGCTATGAAATGGCTCATTTTAGCTTTTTAGAATAGAATAACAGATTAGAAATATTTTAAAAATAAAGTATGACTGCTTTTATAATAACTGTTTCATATGCAAATTCAGAAAGTAAAATTCAATTTTCTTCAATTTAGTAATACTGCAATGTACTTCTGCTATGTTAGAATGGACAATACAACAAAAGCTTTTTTTAAAAAGAATGATTCTTGTAAAAACACATTTTGATTCAATTAACTAATTTTAACCTGGTTTTACATCTAATTGTTAGGGGTTGAAAAATATCTTACCTTTTCTAAAAATGGAACACAATATACTGTAGCATATAGTTTTGCAGCATTCTGAAGGAAACTGAGGTGCCTTTTGAAATAAAAAATTAAAGCAAAGTCTGAATGCAGTTTTAATAAAATTCCAGTTTAGAACAAAACTGCCAAAATTATAAAAGAAAAAATATTAAATATTTATTTAAAAAATTTTTTTTAGTTGTAGATGGACACGATATCTTTATTTATTTTTATGTGGTTCTGAGGATTGAACCTAGTGTTGCACAAGAGCTAGAGAGGGCTCTACCACTGAGCTACAACCACAGCCCTAAATGTTTATTCTTAAAAACACTGAACAGTAATAATATTCAGGTAGTTATCATGACTACTTTGAGGAAAGGAGTGAATGGTGAGAAGTAGAAAATTTAAACCTGTGGAAGAAAATTCATTTTAATTCCTAGGAAAATATTATATACCAGGTATTCAAGAGTATACATCAGGTTCAATCTAAAAAAGAGACTGTTTAAAAACAAAAAAGGTTAAACTTTATAGAGAAGCAGGATAAGGTGACTGGAGGTCTACAAGTACTGGATGAGAAAATTTAGCAAAGAGCTATTTGTAGAAAGGAAGATTAGTGAAGGCAAGATAAGTGTTTAATAAAAATATATAAATAAGTGTGATCTAATGTGCATTAATATAGTACATCCAGAAATGAGACCAATTCCTTTGAAAATTTATTTGAAATTATTTAGGGAGATACTCAGTAATAACTGCTGCTTCCTCCATATAATTAAAAATTCTCAGCTTTATTAAGTATAAAACACTTATTATCAGTTTATGTTTTTTATTGAGAAAGTTAATGAGATGATTTTGGTTTTACATTATAGTAGATATAAATAATGAAGTTGTTTACCATGTGAGTAAATGGATTTACATTTATGTGAAGTGAAAAGTTGTGGTCAGAATTACTTGTTAATAATTTGCTTATGCAATCATTTAACATTGAAGCCCTTGCAATTAAGAAATGTACACAGTTCAAATTGATATAAATACTTACAAAGGTTCATTCAAATCAAATTTTATTGGAGAAGGTGGTCTCTTTGGTGACTGCCAAAATAAACCTAACAAAAAGATTCAAATATTATTTTCAATATATGCTGACAATTTAGTACTATGTTAAAAATTTCTCCTTCCCTCGTCGTTATACAAAATACATGTATGATGATGTGAGGGGGATAAAAAAATAAAAAACTAAAAAAAAAATTTATAAAAAGGGAGAAGGGGAATAAGATGAAAGGAGACTCTGTTTGTTATACAAAAAAAAAAATTTCTTCTTGACACTTGGGTTACACTTACTGCCATCTTTTAATCGTGTGTCCAGAGGAAAACAGTGAAGAAGCTGAAGAGCCTAAAGAAAAAAGTAAAACAACAAAAACAAAAAACATGAACTAAAGAAACCTTCAATAGTACATGAGAACCTACTGATCGATTGATTGATTGATTGTACCGGGGAATGAACTCCAGGGCAATTTACCACTGAGCTAAATCCCTTGAGTCATTAGGATTATAGGTATCAGCCAGGATAGCAACTAAATTTTTAAATTAAAATTAAACATTTCTATGTGTTATTTTATATATATATATATATATATATATATATAAATATATATATATACACACACACACATATATATATATATATATATATATATATATAAATATGCTTCATGAATCAAAAAACATTAAAAGGTATATCGTGAAGTTCCCAGTCATCTGTATATTGTTTGTCCATTTTCCTGTCATTACTCCCGATACCTGGAAAAAACCTCTATTGTCATTTTTTATCAAAACCTTTTTCTAAATATCTTTAGCAAACACAACTGTACATTACTTCATTCACTATTATAAAAATGGTGGCATATTTTACATATCACTTTGTATTTTATAAAGAGCTAATCCTTACAACAAATAACAAGTAACAGTCCACAGTATTTTGAGATAAAATATTTGGGATTTGCTTCAAAATCATCTAGGGGAGAATGTGAATGGAAATATAGATGAAACAAAATTATCTGTAAATTGATAATGATTAAGCTGAGGTGAAAGATAAATGACTATGATACAGTGGGTTCATTATATTATTTCCTTCACATTTATGAGATTAAAGTTTTTCCATATAAAAAAAAAAGCTAAAAAAAAAAACCCACAGAAGATAAGAACTAAAAGAAGTTTTTAAAAAATTCTAAAACAAAGAGGGCACTGACAATGGTGGTAAGAACAATTTGAAGAGTATCTGGGAAAGAAGTCACATTTAATCATTGGGTGATTAAACCATTTTTTCTAAGAAGCAAAGGCATGAAGGAAGTTAAAAGACAAATAAAATCAAAGATTTTTTTTTTTCAAAAAAGGTGAACTTACTTTATATTCTTATAGGTAAGAGACCAAAGAGAGGGAGAGACTAAAGAGAGTTACAGTAAACATTCTAGTAACTGTATGTAATTGCAAGTAAGAATAGGTAATATTTAGTGATTACTCATGTGCCATGTGCCGTTCTAAATATTTCAACTGTATTAACTTATTTGATTCTCAGTCCCCCCCTAAGTATCAGATACTATACTATGAGGATAATTTATTATCCTCAATTTACATTTGAGGTAATAGATATAAATTTTGTTTCTCAAATATGATTGGAAAGGTTAAAGTTGTGACAAAAATTTCTGACGGAAGATCTCTTATTTTCTCACTTTTGCTTCTATTACAAACAAACTTCTTTTAGACTACAGGCAAAATATATTCCTTATTCCCTAGAAAAAAAAAACTACCTGAAACACAACTTTGAATACAAGGAGACAGAATCAGTTAAATGCATAATAGAAAAGCCAATGAGTGGAATTTAAATGCTTTCTCCAATGAGTAACATTGAAAGAGAAATTAGTGTGTGCTCTCGTTCTTGCTTATTTTTTTGGTACCAGGAATTGAATTCAGGGGCGCTTAACCACAAGGTACATCCATAGCTCTTTTTTGTATTTTATTTAGAGACGGGGTCTCACTGAGTTGCATAGGGCCTTGATAAGTTACTGAGGCTGGCTTTGAACTTGGGATCCTCCTGCCTCAGCCTCCCGAGCAACTGAGATTATAGGTGTGTGTCACCAAGTCCCACTGTTACTAATTTCTGAAAAGCTTGACCAAAAAAAAAAAAAAAAAAAAAAAATTAGTAGACATTTGAGGTCAATAAAATTAATTTAGAAATAACTAGTTGAGTCAAGGTCAGACTTTTCCTTAATGTCCCAGAATGCTTACATACCTTATGGTTAAAATATTTTTCAAACTTTAATCTTGCTAATTCTACACACTGGGACCAATTTCTAGGTCTTCTAGTAAGTAACTTAATGACTTGAAAACAGCCTTCTAAACTCTGCCCACTTTGTATTTTCTAGAATGGAAGAGAAAAAGAAAACACGAATATACTTCAAATTAAAAACACATACATACACTTTCTAAATCTCTGTTAAATGTTTTTATTCTATTTTTCATCTCAAGTTCCTTGTCTCTACCTTTCTCTTCTGCCTCTTTCTTTTAATTTATCTTTTATAGGAAGAGAATGGTAGGAGATTACATAGAAAAACTTAACTCTCGCAAGATAGGTGTTTTCCTAGCTATGTTATTATTACTACATATGTACTTAGAGTACAAAGAATTCTATTAATAATATTTATAAAAAGCTGACTTTTCAGTAGTATATGATTAAGGAATACAAGGAAACATCTTTGAAGTTGCCCTTATCATGAGAGCAGTTAAGTCTGAGATTACTGTTTACTCCAAACATTTTCACTAAAACTTCCTCAATTTTTCCCCTAAGAGCTTAGCAAGTCCTTTTATTATTTGTTGCTCTTATTATCATTATTGCGGATCAAACACAGTTAAACATTGACAATTTCATATAGTTCAATCAAACTAAAATAAGGTCATCTGTGACATAATTTCAAGATTCCTCATGTATGGTTTTTAATTTTTATGTACAACACTAATGTTTTAACCATTCTTTATGGAGGTAAGACAGGTAACTTGAAATTAAGATTATAATGACACAAAATGTTAAGTTTGTATTAAAATGCATTAATTTTACCTGTAAGACTTCTTCTGCCGATAGATAGGTTTGCCAAAATTTGTTAAACAATGAAGGCTTGTGTGAAAAGGAACTCTCAAACTGTAATGGAGAACAGAAAAATGTTCCACATACAAGTCTTTTTTTAAAGTTGGATATATCACATTCTCACTTCAAAGAAGGTAAACTGTCTGAAAAAGAAACTTTTACCTTATCTCTTGCCCACTGTATAGTGTGTTCGATAGCAGCTGGAAAGGATTTTAGGGTACAAAATGGTATTTCCTCTTCTGGGGGATCTCGCTATTATAACACATGACAAAAGATACTTAAGAAAAGCAGCGATAAATTTTTATGGATTTAATTGAGTCTTAAGATCAATATAAAAATAAAAAAATCATGTACAAGCATACATTTTAATATTTTCTCTTACATAATTAAAATTAATTCTTTTGACATTTAACCTATTTGTTGATAGCAAAGGAATCACAAACATGAATACTTTATTATTTTGTCATCTGTGCTATCATTTGGTATACCATGTAGTACACACAGCATATAATCACACATAGCTCATTTTTTTTTTTTCAGATAAAGGTAAGATTTAAAATTTCAGAACACTACTGCCGCCTACATTGAAAAGTAATTCAAGAATCCAAAATATAGTACCTTGAGTCCTAGGGTAGTATAAGTCTCTCTATGGAGAAAAATACTTGGAACCAAGGATGAGTGGTATAGTTTCTTACAGAAAGTGTATCTTAAATAAATGGTATAGTTTCTTACAAAAGTGTGTCTTAAATAAATGGCAAAAGCTGTTATCTCATGTAGATAAAGGAGCACTGAAGAAATCTTTATTATAGGGAACAGGTAGGCGAGGCTTATTCATTTAACCAATCTAAAATCTAAAAAAGAGACTCACTTGGTCTCTTTTTTACTTAGAGATTTGGATTTGAGTTTTTTGACTTATAAAACACTACTAAATATTTTATAAATTAAAGAATGAAGATAGGAGAGTATTACATTCTGGTTCTCAAGAGTTTGAAGCCAAAATAAGAGGAAAAGGTTTAGGAGAGATTTATATTGGAAATTTTACAATGACATCAGCATATTATGATTTTTTTCCCATCTAATCTCATTCAAATTAAACTTCTGAATTTTGTAACATTTTCATTACATATAAACTTCTGATTTCATGAAAGGACATGGAAAAACATGTCCTTACAAAAATTTTAAAAATTTAGAAACCAAATATACCCATTAAATAAAGGGATACTGATGCTTCAAGAATATTATTTTTTCACTTTTTTTTTTTTTTAACCTGAGTGGATCTTTTTAAGTTGTAAAGCTTTATTTCCGAGACCAGTCGTTTGAACTTTGGCAGTATCTCAAAATTATTTATGGGGTTTTAAAACTTACACTTACATCATTATATAAAAATATATGCACACAGACAGCTAGGCCCCACCTATTAAGAATCTGATTCTTCAGTTAGATTTTGGGTGGATCACCAGGGTCTGTACTCTTATTAAGTTTCACAGGTTATTTCTGACAATGTAGGATAGGTATAAATTCCTGAGGAGAATAAACATTAGACACAAATGTACAATGACTATCCTTGCCTTCTTTATTCCTTAGATACCAGCTAATGTATAATATAATAAAAATTAAAGGACCAGCAGATGAAAATAATTTTGTCTTTGTTGATAGCTCAATTCTCAATCTAAAAGTTTAATTTTCTTATCAAGCAATCTTAAACTCCAAAATTGTTAGAAAACTAAATAGAGGCTTTCAGAAATAAATAGTATACACACAAATACTACTACAGGAAAACTAGATACAAAATTCTGATGACTTTGAAAAAATTCAGTTATCATTTTTAGAAATGCCACGTATAGAGGTACAGACAAAGCTGGCAGAGCAAAAACAGAAGGATTAAGAAAGCTAAATCAAATTTGCTGACTTGTGATGAAGACAAAAACCAATGATATATAAAGAAAACATTTATTTCAAAGTGTTGATCACTTACATGACTATTATAAGATTCAGTCAAGTGAGGAATAATAACTTCAGTGTGTCCCTTAGTGCCCATTGTTCCAGAATCTAAGAGAGGCCGTAGATTTGCTAAGCAACGGCTGTTTGAAAATATAATATTTTTGTAAAAAACACAGTGGCCATTTTGCATATTGATACCTTTTTCTGAATATATTAGGAAACAAAATGTATAAACACCAAAAAACCCCACTGAAAATTTTCTACTTCCCAGACCTGTCATGCATGCAAATTCTGTTGCTCTTTCTAGTCATTTTTGTTTCTCCCTTCTACTACCACCACTAAGTCTTGGGCTGTGTTGGTTTTTATCTCTAGATTAATTCTTAACTTATCCTTTCTTCTGTTGCTTTCTATTTATTCTTTGATTATTTTCTGACAACAAGTGCTATCCCACTATATATTCTCAATATTTGCTTTATCTCAAACAGTATCAATTTTCTTCTCCATACTTACATTACCCACATTGTCCACATTTTAATATTTTTTTTGTGTGTTTTTTGCTTAAGACCACAATCTTTTCACTACATTTTTTGACTGATAAAATTTTCCTATTATCTGCTCTAGCATCCCAACATTAAGGAGTCATATAATTATGTAAGAAAGACTATGTAAGGTTTACACATGTATAATCATTCATTCATCTACTTATTTCATAAACATTTACTGAATGATATCATCTGTTGGACACTAAAAATACAGTGATAAAAAATAAATGGTTTCTAAGAATGACTTACTGAGGCAATAAACACTAAATAAAAAGGAAAAAAGTATATTGGGGAGAAAGTCAGTTTTAAGACAGACATTTAGGCTAAAACAGAATGAGGAAAAAACTTAAACTGAAAAGTGATAGGCAAATTCAGTGACAGGAGTTTTGGAGAAAGATAAACATCAACTTCCTGAGGTTTTGGGGGAAAAAAAAGTGCTGAAGCTATGGGCTGGGGATGTAGCTCAGTGGTAGAGCATTTTCCCTAATGCTTCAGGCCCTGGGTTCTACCCCACTCACTGGAGAAAAAATTGGGGGTCAGGGGAACTAAAGGCCTTGTCAGAACTGAAAGAATATACCTGTAACTAGAATAAGTAAGAGGAACCAAAATGCCTGGGTATATTTTACACTAGTGTGGTGGACGAGAGGCAGTTACTGCATGAAAGACATTTAGACTAGTTCCACTTTTCAATTTTATTCTAAGTATAATGGGAAATCATCAGACAGTTTGGGTTTGATGAGTACTATAGAACATAAAGAATAATCAGAAAATTTGTAATTTTTCAATAAGTAGGTGTGAGAAATAGAAGTAAACATGAAAGATAATTCTTCATGAACCTGAATAAGAACCTACCTGTCTACATATCTCCTGGCTTCCACATTATCTAATGCTGTAATAATTATATCTTGTTTAGTATAAAACTCATCACTGTAAATGGTCTCAGTGGCCGGACATACTTTGTTCAGGTGTGCATCTATCTTTAACTGAGGATTTATTTTCATAGTTGCATCAGCAGCGGTATAGCTTTTAGGTTTCTAAACAAATAACAAATACAAACAGAAGAAATAATGTTAAACGAAAAAGATAAACTATGAACTTACACATTTTAATTTCTTGTAAAAAGATATATAAGGTGAAAGTAAAGCAATGAGACATTTTCATTTTTGGTTTGTGATAATTATAGTTACTGTACTCACTATATTTAATAATGCACCTTAGTCCAAATAATATACACATTAATGAAAAAAATCTAAAGATCCTTTATTTCATGGTTCAGTGGTTTAGAATTCTTAAAATAATAGTTAAGATTATGCTCGAGATGGCGGTGGATAGAGTGTATCACCCCCGTGTACTGCGTCACTGCGCAGGTGAAAAACGAGTTAGAACGGTCAAAAGCTATCTTTTTAGGAATTTCCAGCAAAATTGGGATACACCGAAACCTAGAGGAAGGATTTCCATTGCCCAAGGATCGATTACGGGGGCTCAACCACGAGTGAACCTTATGCCCGGATATTCAGGCTGTTTGATCGGTGGCCCTCCCGGCTACTAGAGACTGGGGTGCGCTGGGAAACAGCATCCCTAGAAACGGGGAGCCAGGAACGCACAGGAACGGTGCTGCAGATTCTGTGGGCTCCTGCCGGCTGTGCCCTCACTGTGCTTGGGGCTGAGTTCTGGGTTTAAGATGGGGGAAGGAAGCGGTCCAGTTCTGTCCTCAACACCGGACAGCCCACCGAGGAAGCCAGAGGCCACCATCTTGGAGAGTAGACGTGACCATCGCCAGTTTAAGACAGATTGCAGCAGCGATAGAACAGGTCTGTGTCATTTAGACCATCTCCCATACAGTGGGGAAATCGCATAAAATCTCTCCCCGGCTTTCCAGGGGCGTGATTAACAGAGTGAGTGTGAATAGAGGCGTGGGGAAAGGTAAAGGTACCTGACCTCCAACTCCCCCCTCCCACCAGTGGCGAAAACGAAACCTGTCTCGCCAGCTCTGGGGGGGGGGGGTAGCGGGGAAGGGAATCAAAACAATTAAGTGCCGTTTTCCTATAGCCGTGCTCCACTTCCAGGAAACTGCAGGCCCAGAGTGTAGCTTGAACTGCTGAGAGGTATCACACTAGGAAAGGCCTGGCTGGCAGGAGAAGCAAAGTGACTAGAGACCAGGAATAAACCTAAGCTAACAGGTTTTGAGAAACACCAGAGGGGGGAGGAGGGAGCGACCTCACATGGATTGTTTCCTACAGCCGAAGGGTAAAATCTTGGCCTAGAAGGCATAGCGCCACCTACTGGAAATGAAGAAAATAGAAGACTAACAGTGCCCCCCCTTGTTTTCTTTCCCTTTTTAAAATTTTTTAATTTTAATTTTTTTCTACTTTTAAATTATATATTTAATTGTAATTTTTATTTTACCGCATTTTATTTTTTTTTATCATTTCTTTTTCTTTTCTATTCTTTTCTTTTTCTTTCCTCTCTCCCTCTTTCTTTCTTGGTTTGCTTCCTAACCATTTCCCCATCTTTCTTCTTAAGCATGATCACCCAGATTATATACAACTTACTAAATGCAAACAGATGAATACTACGAATCGGTCTATAGTGCGCCTAAGCCCTTAACTACCCCCAATTACTCCTGTCTATTCTCTTGTTAATATCCACCTGCATCTGAGCAACCCCCCAAAGAAGCTAACATATATTCACCTCCATACCATCAAATTGCCCAACCTCAACATAAAATGCTAAGTTCAAACCTTAATTCTCTATATGCCATCAAAATCTGTAGGCCTTTAATGAAACTAATGAATTTACCTTAATTCACAATTAAATCCAACATCTCTAAACATTGTCTCCCAACACAAAGGAGAGATATTGGAACTATAAAAACCAAAACAAATTTAAAGAAAACAGAAACACAGCAGTCAAACAGAGTTGGAAAGTAACGTGAGCACCATGAAAAAACAAGGGAAAAAAGGATTACAAACAATGCAGGACAACTTAAATTCACAGGAGAACCTAGAGGCATCTGAAAAATAGAGAAAGAACTCAAGGCATACCTAACTCAGATGGAATGGAATCTTAGAGAAGACTTTAGACAGCAAGTCCAAACAATGAAAGTATACTTTGAAAACGAATTAAATAAGCAAATTCAAATGGCAAAGAATGAGCTCTACCAGAAGATAGAGATTAAAAAAAAAATCAAACAGTAATCCTAGAAATGCAGGAAACCATAAACCAAATTAAAAACTCAAATAAGAATATTACAAAGAGACTAGATCAAATAGAAATCAGAACATCAGATAATGAAGACAAAGTTTATCAACTTGAAAAGAATATAGTCAACACAGAAAGGATCCTAAGAAATCACGAGCAATCTATCCAAGAGATATGGGATGTTATAAAAAAAAAACTTGAGAGTCATTGGGATAGAAGAAGGTGTAGAGGTTCAAACCAAAGGAATGAACAAGTTATTAAATGAAATAATCTTAGAAAACTTCCCAGATATAAAAGATGGAATGGATTTCCAAATCCTGGAAACCTACAGGACCCCAAACATACAAAACTGTAATAGACCAACTCCAAGACACATAATTATGAAGATATCCAAGATACAGAACAAGGAGAGAATATTAAAAGCTACGAGAGAAAAGAGGCAGATTACATTCAGGGATAAACCAATTAGGTTAATGGCTGATTTTTCATCACAGATATTGAAAGCGAGAAGATCCTGGAACAACATATTTCAAACACTGAAAAATAATGGATTCCAACCAAGAATACTGTATCCAGCAAAATTAAGCTTCAGATTTGACAATGAAATTAAAATATTTCACAATAAACAAAAGTTAAAAGAATTCGCAGCCAGAAAACCAGCACTGCAAGGCATTTTGAGCAAAACACTACAAGAAGAAAAATGAAAAACAGCACCCAAAACTAAAAGTGGGAGGTAACATAGTAAAGGGAAGAAAAAAAAAATTAACCAAAAAGGAAAAACTAGCCAAATAAAAATAAATAAATAAATAAACATGACTGGAAGTACAAACCATATGTCAATAGTAATCTTAGATGTTAATGGCTTAAATTCACCAATCAAGAGACATAGGCTAGCAACCTGGATTAAAAAAACAAATCCAACAATATGCTGCCTTCAGGAGACTCATATGATAGGAAAAGACATACACAGGCT